CTGAGCTGAATCTCTTGTTGTGTGATACGCACGCCCTGAACAACTGATCTACTTCTGACCAACACGTGTAGGCATTTATGACTAGTACTAGGCCTGAGAGAGTGCAGTCCAATTCGGTCCGTAATTGATCAAGTGATTGACAAAATTATAACAGTACGCATATAACGCGTATAGTCACACAGGCATGTTACGTTGAATGGCCAGTTACAAGCATAACGTGAACTGTACACTGTCCCATTAGTGCACTGATCAAAACTATAGAAAAATTTTCGAACGTGATTAGTTATCACCAGCCCGATTTGAGCACTAATAGGACGGTGTACGCGTCATGTGTGTAATTGAAGTGTAACAGGACAGTGAAAGGGACAGTTAACACGTCATGCCAGGGTAATTGGACAGAACGCGTCATGTACTGTTGTCTCGCATTTTGCCGAGTTAACTGTTGCTTTTTATTTCTTTTTCTCTTTTTAATGAAAACGTACAACCACAACCGATCTCTAGTTTCTTTCCCAAATTTTGTTACGACTACAGACCGAATTGGACTCCGCTCGATCCTATTTGGCTGCTGATGACCAATGGCGTAGCAAATTTTATTATTGTGTTGATTGGATATGTCATATGCTATTGTATGTTGGGTGGTCAACCCGCGTCTCGCCGAGAGAACGTTCGATACAAAGCTGCGGTAGATTAATTGAACGTCGACGCGAAAACTCATCGACAGAGAAGTCTCTGATGAGAAGACTTTTGGCATATATCTACATTGCTATCATTGTATGTGTGTTTATTGTTGTTGTTGATGTTGTTGTAGTGGTGGTGGGTGTTGTTGTTTTCGTTGCTGTGATGGTTGTTGTTGTTGTTGTTGCTGTAGTTGTGGTTGTTGGTTTGTTGTGTGTTGCATCCAGGTTAATTAGTAATTCTCCTAGATTCACATCTTGCTTATGGGTCACGAAGCGTAAAATATTCAGCCCGTATCGTGTACACTTTATGTTTGTCTCTTTCTCTCTCTTTCAGGCGACTATTCTCCATCATGTGGTACTTTTTCTTCTTCTACAACATAATTTTTGGACTTTTCTCTGCTTTTATGCGAACTCTACAGGGCGTGCTTTTAGGAGTGATTTTCATCTCGCTTATCGATCGAACATCACTGATGCAGGGTTTCCAGGCTTGGGACAAAGGTACGTAGCACGAACCCAGTACAAGCAATTTATAAGCGGCAGAGGCTATGTGAAGTGAGATATAC